TCCCTGAGCCCTCAACCTGCCCTGGTGACCTGGCTAATTTGGCTAATTCCTCCTCTCCGGCGAGGGGCATTAAACCTCCTTCCAAACGGGAACGCCACGGTCTGAGGTCACCCAGCCCTCCTGAGAACCAGGGCTCAGGTTTCCAAAACTATTTCTGGGTGAAGGACTACCGGATTTATTTAGCGGCTTAACGTGGCTGGGCTGGGAACTGCAGCTGAGGCTGGCGCGGTGATTTGGAAGCACAGCTGGTACCGGTTGGCCCCTGCATCCCACTCGTGCTCCTCACCCTGGGTTTTGCCTTCCCAAGCAGAAGCTGGGACGTTCCCATGCCGCCTCCGCAGGAGGTGACGGGGACCCCGGGGACACCGGTGGAGCTTGGCTGGTGGCAGCGAGCCTGCGACACCTCCCCCTCCGCACAAAATAGCGCGGGCTGGTTTTTCACTTCTACATCTAAATCTGTTTTCATCCTTTGCACGATTTCAGGAGAGGTGCCATAAACCCGTAAATGAGCGCCGAGTAACAGAGGGGAACGCGGGGCCGAGAGCGCAGCGACCTGCTGGGACTTGGAGAGCGCTCTGCTGGCTGCCCGGCCGCAGCCGCCTGCCAGGGATGCACACCAAACATGAGCTAATCCCAACAAAAATAGGAGTGAAATCATAATTCATATGCATAATTCATGTGCATAATTTTATCTCCGCTGTGTATTCTCCAGGGATGTATTCTAGAAAATGCTTTCTTTCCCCTCCCCTCGACACTCTTGTCCTTCCAAAAAGTGCCGTAGATGCAAATCATTGGAGACAGCAAGGGGTAGTAGCTTTGCTGGGTTACTAAATAAATGCTAGATTTGTCTGAGTTTCTAGCCTACGTCTTGGCAAGTTATGCAGATTGAAGCTGTTGTATAGACAAGCAGGCTTGTAATAATCACAGGATTTTAATTGCTTTCATTGTGAACCCTGGCTGCTGATTGTATCTGCATGGAAAACTAACAGTTTGCACTTGCAAATGCTAAAAATGTTAAACAATAATGGCAATTAGAGATAATTATAGTTATTCTGAAGCAAGGATTGGAGTTAGACTCCAAGAAGACGTCCAGAAAGAACGGAAAGCGTTGCCCTGTTTACTGCACAGACTACGAGCTGCTTTCCATAGGATGCGAGAACTGCCAGATTTAATTGCTTAATGATTTTCTATAAAATATTTAAGTAACACGGTGCCTTAAGCCAGCCCCGGCTCTGCCGGAATTGCAGGTGTCGGCGTTGCTGGAGGACGGTCACAGCGCCAAAGCCCTGGGCTGGCGCCCGGCGCCTGCTGAGTCACGTCAGGCTCTTCTGTGCCGTGCAAGTCACCGGGGCCACCAGCACCCAGGGACCTGATGGCAGGGGCTGGGTAGGTGCCAGATCTCAGCCCAGCCAGCCGCTGTTTCGGGGGAAGCCTCTGCAGCACAGGTCCAGCTTTGCCCCCTCCAAGCTGGCTGATGGACCCGCTCAGTCGCTCCCTGCCCGGTCGGTTGGGTCCCTTAGAGAAAACAAGCCCTTTAAAAGCACATCGAGGAAGAGGTTTTGTCCTCGTCGAAGCGTTTTGGGCTTTCCTCAAAACCAAAACAGGCACTTATTTATCCCCAGAGCCGCGCTCTGGGCTGGGTGCCAGCCACTGTGTGCAGGCTGCGGCGGGGGCACATCCTGCCCACGCACCCCACCTGCACGTCCCACCTGCGCATCCTGCCCACGCACCCCACCTGTGCACCCCTCCTGCATCCCTCCTGCACATCCCACCTGCGCCCGGCCCCTAGGAGGCTGCGGAGGGTGACACAGCCCCTTGGGAGCCCTGCGAGGTGGGCACGAGATCCAGCCCCAAGCCTGGAACGGAGCACTTAACCTCCTGCTCATGGAAAAACGCCCGTGTAAGACGGGATTTCCGTTCCTCTGACTCAGCTTAAGCAGCACAGGGCTAAAGCTCTGCTCGCGTGGGGCGTGCTGTGAGGCATTAAACTCTGCCTGTCCTTCTGCTGCGTCCTGGCAGCGCTCGGTGCTGAGTTAGGACAACGGGGAACGCATTGCCCAGGGCCTGGCTCGCTGCCTCCATCCCCACAGCAGCACCCGAGCAGCCCCGCAGCCCCCAGCCCCATCCCAGACGTGCGGGTTGGAGGTGCCCGAGGAGCTCGGGGGGAACAAAAGCTGCTTTCACGGGTTCTGAAGGAGCTCGAGGGACTGCCCTGGCAAATTCCTTGCGTGTTTCTATGGGCTGTAACCAATGCAAGGGGGGGAGAAGTGCTCCCAGCAATCTCCTCCCACTGAAAGCACTCCATTCACAGCCGGGCTGGAAGGCAGCGAAAGGAAAGGCCGTGCACATGTTGAGATGCAGGGGGGTGTTGCATGGGGCGCTTGCACCTCTCCTATAACCCCCCCTGCCCACCCAGCAGGGCCAGGCTGTTCCCCTGAGGTCCTGAGCCCACTTCCATGGGCAAGGGACAAGGAGCCACAGCAGGGCCAGATGAAACCAAAGCTTAACCCAGGGCCAAATCCTGCTGAGCAGAACCCGGCGCTGCCCCTGCTCGGGCTGCAGGCACAGGGACAGGACGGGATCAGGCCCAGCGGGGCTGTGCCCGAAACACGGAGCAGGCCTCGGAGGAGAGGCCGGAAAGAAGGAAGCCAGAGGCTCAAAAGCCAAAAAATACATCTGGATGCTGCCCAGGTTGACGTGGACCTGACGTGTTTGAGACGATCCGGATGGGGCGTTCTGCTTTACGGCCGTCTGCTCCCCTCCCTGCACGGGGATTGAGCTGTGTAGGGGAAACCTGCTGACCAGGACGAGGTGTTACTTGTCTGAATGGTACTGAGTCACTGCTCAGCCTCAGCTAGCCGCTGCCTCGAGGGAGGAAACACAAACACGGCCGGCTCCTGCAGCTCCGTAGCCACAGGGGGCTGTGAGAGGCATGCCTCATGCCCAGACATCGCTGCCGTGAGTCACCGCCTGGCAGAGGGTGTCCGAGTCACTGCTCAATAAATAGAACAAAGCCGGGAACCCCTGGGTGGGCAGGCACGGCACAGCCCCGCTTCCTTCAGCGAGCGCCAGCCGTCTCCTCGGGGTTTACCAGGAGCGCGGGATAAAGGAGATTTCCATGTTTCAGCACAAATCTCCTACAAAAACGCTGAGAAGAGGAACATGTCCTTTGGGTGCCAGGCTTACCGGCACAGGCTCTGCCTCCACGTGCCTGGGAGGATTAAGGCTGCGGTGCCGCTGCTGCAGAGTGACTTTGCAGGGCAGGAGGAGAGGAGAACACGGGCACACTCCTCGAAGAGAAATGAATCCCAGCTAACAACCAACAGCTACACACAGAGCACAGCTACCAGAGAGGAGCCCCTTCAGCGTCACAAACCGCTGCTTTCGCAAGGCCACACCTAGAAGAAATATAAGGAATTGAAAAACTCTGCCTGTAAGGAAATAACGTGACACTCCCCAGCCATGAACCCGCAGCGAGCGCACGCACACGTCTGCAGGCACCGTCCCGAGCCCACAGGCAGCAGCCAGCAGCTCAGCCCGCTGCCCTCGGACGTTTCTGAACGCCTGGAAGGCAGCGTGGTAACATCCACTGAGCTTACACTGAACTAGCAGTTTGCCCAAACATCTGGAAGCAGTTTATTTCTCCAGATGTTTCCCCCGCAGACACATACCTTCCACTCGGTGCCCCGGATCCAGATGTTTCCAAGCAGCTCCACGCTCTTGCTGAAACGCAGCAGGCGCCCTGGGGACGCTGCCAGGCTCCCCAGCACAGCCACGGTTAACGCTCCGAGGCATAATGCGGGACACCTGCACGTGGTGGAAACTGGAGACAAAACGCGGAGCCTGGCAATGGAAAAAGTCAAAGCCAAAAGCTGCGTCAGGCAGCTGCTGGGGAGCCGGGGGGAAAGGCAGCGGGGACACAAAGCTCTGTGTTAAAACCTCAGCTGTGCAGAGGGAAGTGCTAAGTGCTGCTCAACTTCAGGCAGCTCGCGCCTTCCAGAGCCGTGGCGCCGCACAAAGGAGCATTCAGAGGGAAAGCTGCGGACGTGCAGCGCTGGGATCTGCTGCAGGGGTTAGGGGCAGGTGAGCAGGGCTTGGTTTCACCACCCAGCCTAACGCTGAAGGTGCGAGCTCCTGGTCCTCAGCCTGGAGCAGGACTCCTGCTGCAGAGAGGTGTTCAGGGAAGCAACAAACCCATTTTCTCTCCGTGTGTGTGAGTTCAAGGCATGGTGTCCCACCAGGGCTCAGTCACACCAGCACGAGCCTGCTTTTCATCATACATTCAGATGAGCAGCTTCTGGACATTCCTGAGCCACTTTTTACAAGGGAAGCCCCCCAGAGGGGGTGACTCCCCCAGCCCTACAAGGCTGCAGGTGCTCTCTTGGAGCTGCACCAAGTGATCCGCAGCCACACCGGGAGCGCAGAGCCCCAGCACGGTTTAGGTTAAGCCCACACAGCCCCGCTGCCAGCTAAAAGGCTCCCTGGGAGCAGAGGGAGGAGCAGCAGCGCTCCCAGCTCCTCCCAAACATAGGAACCGCCTCTGCTTCAGCACTGTCAGGTGCAGGTTAGACAGACTGCCTGTGTGTAGCAAACACACTGCTGCTTATTTTGGAGCTCTGCTTTCAGCTCATTTTGTGGCTGCTCAACGCAAGCCTCGTGCTCATCTATGGCTCAGCTCACAGAAGCCAGGACCCCAGCTGCTCCGCTGCCCCCCTCACGCCTCCAGATCCAGGTTACCTGGCACAGCAGCACCCAGCAGGGCTGCAGGAGGATGCGCTCCCCTCAGTCCCTCCTTCTGGCTCCCTGGTGGAGCCAGGCTGGAGGGCAGCGCCCACACAGATGGGCCACACGCTCCTCAAACTGAGCTTCTTCCTCCCCTCCTGCAGAGCTACCTCCTCTGTGGCACCAGCATCTTCCAAGGCACAGAGCTGGCTGCTCACCTTCTCCAGACAAGAGCAGTTTGTGCTTCGGACAGTAGGCAATGAAGACACCAGAGGCTGTTGAAATGTGTCAATTCACCTTTAATGTTTGAAAAAAATAAATGGTATTTGAGCCATTGCAGTTATGAAGGGAACGTATCTTGCTCCACAAGAGACCGTGAACAGGTTCACATTAGACTCATGCTTGGAAAAAACAAATCCAAAACATTCTTCTTTCAGATCAAAGTGGAGTTCCGAACAGACAAGACCACAAGAGTGCCCCAGACAGCCCAAGGCACGTTACCCCAGTGCAGACATTTCCATCAACATGAAGTAATGACAGCTACATTCTTTCTAGTTACAACATTGTTCTATCAATATTACAAAATTAGGCATACTTTGGATTTTGCACAGAGACAAGGACTTTTACTTCAGGAAGTAGTCAACCTGGGTCACCAAAGTCATTTCACAATGAAGAGCTCCCTTCACTCTGCCTTCCCCCACCCCAGCAGTGACTTGTTACCAACACCAAATTTGTCCTAGAGACATGAGTTAGGCTCCCAAGCCCAGTGATTTGTCTATGAATTAGTTAAACCAACAGATAGACTGTGACAGCACCAAGTATCCACTTGCCATCACACAGCCTTTGTCCTTCAGGATTCCTCCCACCCAGATCCAGAACACTTCCTGCAGTTTAATCCGAGGGTCAGTACGTACTAAGACAACATCACTGCTGAACCTATTGGAGACCAAGACGTTTTTCTGCCATTGCAGCAGATGTCACATGAGTTTCCTTCACACAAACATCACATGTAAATTTAACTTCTTGGTACTGTGCTTTAAGAACAAAAGCAGATATCAGAACATGGAGGACAGGCCTCCAGAAATAGCTTATCAGCTACAGAAATAAAAAAAGGAGACAGTGGCCACTTACAAGTCTTCCACATGATTAGCTTGTTTTAAAGGAGAGCATCAAGTTAAGGCAGTGTTGAGACAACTGGCTACGAACATGCCAAATAGCTGTTGTCAGCAGTCACCAATTTGATATCCTACTCCGTTCAGGGGTGGGCCGTGTGGCCAACTTTAGATCTCAGCACCAGGGTCTAAAGACTTCAGCCACAGCACGCTGCTTCCTGCAGCGAGCAGCAGCTCAAGGGGTGCTTGTTGAAGCCTTCTAGACCAGGCTGAGGTGCTTACAAGTCTAGGTCAACGCTTCAGCAGAGCCAAAAATACAGTGATGGGTACTGAAAGAACACTGAGGGTGCCAGCTGCACGTCTGGTTATCACAGTCCAAGGTGGAGTTCAACTTGTGTGAAAGCCACGTAAAGAAGAGCCACCCCACCAGCTTCCAGGTGGTTTAGGTACCTGCACTGAGGTTACTGGGAGAGCCAGCTCTCTACAGTCTGCAGGGTGGGTTCGGAGGCTCACACTGGCTTTGCTCCTCATGACAAGATTAACAGTCTAGTAAAACTCAGTAAGGAAGTCAGGGGCTTTTTGGCCTGCCCAAAGTTTTCCCAGCCTCAAAGAAGGAGTTACCACTGAGGGAGCTGTTGTGGAATAGTTTTATTTCTTCCCACGTAAAGGCCATTGTTTAAGCATTTACAGGTTTCCTAGTGCAATACAACCAAAAAAAGCAGTAACAAAAAAATGCCGCCTTCTTCCCAGGCAACTAAACAGAAGTAGAATTTTACTGCAACATATACACATTAAATATAGTATACAGTCCATGCAGCGGCATAGCCATGTTAAAGGGAGTCGTGGCTTCAGCCATCAGTGCATTACAGTCCGAATTTCACTTGCTCCTACTTCCTATCCAGACTTGAAGAGAAGAATTGCAACCTGACCCAAGTAAAAATAGATGAAGTGCTTTGTCTCGTGTGTTACATAGCTGCCAAAGTTTCTGCCAACAATGCAGTGCCAAGTTGGGTTGTATTTCTTGTCAAATTCCTGAAGAAACAGAAGAGAGGCGTTAAGGCCAAGAAAGCCCACATGAAAATAGTTCTAAGCACAAATTCTTTGCCGGTTCTGTTCGCACACTAACGCCCCTCCTCCCACCTGCAACATCCTTACATTCCCTGCCACAAGACACCATTGTGTGGAGTGAGGCAGTGCCTGACGTGAGCTAGGCCTCTGCACTGGCTGGTCTGCAGGATCCAACGCAAGCAAATTATCTCCCGAGATGTGGAGCACACATCTGCCCTGGGCAGAGCAAGCAGACCTAAGTGCTCTCCCTGGTACAGACCTATTCAAGCCCCACGTATAGGCTAGCTCGGGGGAATATTTCTCCTCTCCCATTCCAAACCCACTCACAAAAAAATAAAAAAAGGTTTTGGCATGTCTGCTCTGGCAAGGCATTTGAGCTTAAAGGTCACCTAAAAAAAGGAAGGAGAAGTCTGCCTTATGCTGTTTGGGATACTTCACAGAGGGGGAAAAAATGTGCAGTGAAAACAAGCAGGCAAATTCACAAAATAAAACCCTGAGGTCAGAGGTGAGCAAGGTCAACTCTGGACCCTCAAGAATTCTTAGTCTTCTACTTAGCAGGTAAGGGAGGGTTAAAGAGTTTTCTCCTCCCTCTACTACACAACTCCCAGGAACACCCTTCCCTCCCCCTCAAAGCCAGAAGAACAGACTCGATGTTCAAGATTAAAGCAAGACTCAGTCCTCAGACAGCAGCAAGACAGTTTCAGCTCTTTGCAGGTAACCTTTGAAGTAAGGAAAAGCTTTCTTGCCAGGGCTTGAAGGTGCATCAAATCACTTCCCTCCTCCCAACGCTTAGGAAATAAAGGGCAACTGTTTGGATTCCTTCTGCTGCATTCCCTCCTTTTACAGACTGCATTGCCCCAAGTGCTTTCAGATAGGTCTTGCCTCATCAGATCAAAGTGATCCGGGAAGTCAGGAGACACCTCTGAATCCTTTACATTCAGGGTTAGGTTACAAGCAAGGCCCAGGAGCTAATCCTGGTGCTAGGGCTGCATTGCCTACATAATCATCTTCCTCCTTGAAAAGCACTTTGCCTGACCATTCAGAGAAGTGGCCACAGAGGAAACCAACAGCTCCCCAGATGCTGACAAGCATGAGCCTGAAGCTAACAGGTTCCTGAGAACAGGGAGGCACCTCTTCACAGAACTGCCTGCACCGCTTTTACAGCAGCATCTCCACATCCCTGGCAGGCAGCACAAGGCTGCGTCCTCCTCCACACCCGCTGCCTCTGAGCCAGAACACGCAGACAGAGCTGCTCATGCAGGGCTGCCCACTTCTGAGGGAAACTTCAGAGCAATCCCACCCTGCACCAGCACTGCCAGTCCAGCAGCAGCTGCAGAGCAAGTCCTGAGGAGAGGCTGCAGCCAGCTCTAAGCTGAGAGATCCAGCGGGAGAGCACACAAGCACGCACTCAGCTTGCTCAAAGCTTGCCAGAGCAGCAGACCAGGCCCTGCTCTGCCACAGCCTCCCTCTGACCTTGGAGAAGTCACTCCTTTCTCTTGGGAATAGTGGCAAGAAGCAGAAAAAGCATCTCTTCCTTCCAAGTATGAAGTCTCAAACCACTCAGGCTCGACACACACACACAAGAGCTTCAGCCGTGAGTCTCAGGCAGAGCAGCCCCCTCGCCCCTCGGTTACCTTCTTTATATACGCTGCAATGTCCTTTTCTATGTTGTACTTCTCCATTGCCTGCGTGGCACAGTCAACGGCATCCTGCTGCATGTCCTCGGACATGTCTGCATTCTTGATGACAGCCTTTCTGTCAGACATGGTGAACCTAAGGCAGAACATAAGATTCTGTTAATCCCTTCCCCAGAAAGGAGAAGCTGCCTGTGCAGAGGTTTCTCTCTGTGGCAGGCTGCGTCACAAGCCGATACTCCAACTCCCCCTGCTACAACCAGCAGGAGTTTATCAGGGTAGCCCACAGCAGCCCCAGGCCGAGATCTCCCTTCCAGCTGGAGCACTGGCACTGCCCTGGGGGTTAGATCAGGTAGTCCAACATCAGCACCTGCATCGAACAGGCAGGGAAAGCCGCGTGGGAGGAGATGTGTGGAGACACAGCCCTCCTAGACAACAGGCTACAGCCAAAGCTTGCCTTCCAGGTGCACCAGTGGTTTGGGCATCTTAAGCTCAGAGCCTCGCGAGCAGACCTCAGGCAGCCTGTGCCCAGCATGTCAGCACTAGCACTGCTTTCAGCTCACCCTCAACCAGAGCTACTGCTGCTGGAATGGCAGGCGGAATGGGGAACAGCACTCGTTCCCTCACCTCACCACTGCTTTGCCACCGAAACCCAGACTTCAGCAGTTCTCACGGGACAAAGCCGGTCTGACAAAATAGAAACACTACACTGCAGCCTTGGAACACGTGGGGAAGCACAGCCAGGGAAAACAGCCTCCCATTTTCCTCCCCCAGCCTGTGAGGCAGAGGCCAGCATGCAGGTACTGCCCTCATCTCTAGGAAACCAGGGAGAGGTAACTTGAGCTGAGCATTTAACCCCTTGGCTATCACCCACTTAAGGTGTTTTGTACCAGGCAGTGAAACCATTCACACATAGGCTTCCCACAGCCCTTTTAGGGAAGCATTCAGCACTGGGAAGTGTCCTGTGTGCAGTTCATGTCATCCTAGAAAGCAGGGATTTGGCAGTCCCAGCCCTACAGCAATTCCCCAAGCAGAGGCTGACCTACACACCAGGAAAGGCTTCTGGGCAGCCCTGCTGTCAGCTGTCCCACACCACCATTCCAGGCCCACCGGGATGCACGCCTTGTCTGAGGACTGTCTGAGTGAAGGCCTGTGCTGGCACCTTGGCAGCAGCTCCTACCAGAGAGCATTTAAACTTGGTGAAATTAAGCCTTTGGTGGCAACAAGTGCCTCCAATTAAGCCTGCAGAGCACCGTTAGGTTTACTAATACCTCTACAGCACTGCAAGTCTGAACACTACTACCAAGAATGTTTTGCAATGGTGAAACTACACATTCTTAGCTTTACCAGGGAGTGAAGAAAATCTGCTGCAATGATCGCTTCCTGGAACAGTCCCAGGAAACTGAAGGAGTAGCTTTGTTACAGCAATTAAAGGAGCCTGCTAGCCAGGGAGAAAGAGAATCCAGTTACATAATTGCAGCCCTACAATTACAATACTTCAATTCTTTACTCTGCACTTGAGGACTTCTACTGCAACCTTAATTTATACTGTTTAGATGCAGTGTTTAATAGAGCACCGCTATTAACATGCACTAATAGCATCAGGAGGAATAGCAGGAACTGAGCTCACACAGCAGAGAGCACACGCCTCTACCCCTTCTCTGGAAAAGGCACTTCCAGCCACTTTGTTCCCCTCTCTGCTGTGGTTTAAGCCAGCAGGTTTCAGGCTGGGGCTGAGAAACCCTGGCAGTGAAGACATCACTCAGGAGAACCAAAATGCCTGCCTACAGGTTTAGCTCCACTATCCAGGGCCTTGGAAAGTCCTTTAAAGGATCTTCAGGGGGTCCACCCCACAGGAAATCACAGGAAAAGGGAAATAGCAGAAATTCACTTGTGGGTCATTTTTCTAAGAAAGCCTCTTCAGGGAAGGAAGGCCAACAAGTTCTCATGGATTCCAGGCCTTCCCACGCCTCCAGCGCACACAGTTCAGAGGGCATTTGCCATTACATAAGCAGACACTGAGTGACCTGCAGAAAGCGTCTTCCCTCCTCATTGTTCAGGCAAGCCACCAAGGGCCAGCAGCAGCAGAGGAACAAGCCATTATCCTTCAGCAGGGCTGCAGGTGCCTGCCTGTCTGCCCTCCCAGCGCCACTGCTCCAGGGCACAGCAGCCTCCAGGGGCTGGCAGCCAGGCCCCTGGTGCAAGGCAGGGCCAGCTCCCATCACCCCTGAGCACCCCACTGCAGGGCCCTGCCCCCACCACAGGTCCACAGGCCCTGTCCCCACCAGGCCAGCCCCACGCACACGCCCTGTCCCTGCACCACGGAGCGTTGCCAGCCCTCGGGGCTCTGCCACCCGCACCGGGAGGAGGGGAGACACAAAGCCCCGGTGCAGTAGTAACAGCCCAGCCCCAGCAGCTGGGAGCAGGATGGGGCTCCAGCCCAGCACCCTCCCGCAGCAGGGCAGGATGGAGCCCCGGGCAGCGCCCAGAACTCCCCTCCGGAGCAGGGGGGCTGCGGGAGGAGGCCCCGGCCCAGCTCCGCGGCAGCGGGAGGGGGCTGGGGAAGGGGGCGCGGTCCGGCCCGGCCTAGCACGGCTCAGCACAGCCCGGCACGGCCCTTCCCCGGCGGGCCCCTGCCGAGACTCTCGGGGAGGCGGCGGCGAGCGCAGGCCGGGCGCTGCGTGACCTTCACCGGGGGGAGCCCCGGGGCGGCGGTGACCTTGCCCGGAGCGAGGCCGGCAGCGGGGCCGGGCGTGCGGGGCGGGCACCGGGACCCCCTCACCGGGACCCCCTCGCCGTGAGCCGCCGCCACCCCCTTTCTCTCCTTCCCTTCCTTCCCCTCCCGCGGGCGGACCCCGCACACGGAGCCCCGCAGCCCTGGCGCCGCTCACCTTCACAGTGACGGGGCCAAGCCGGGAGAGCGCAGCGCGGCACAGCACAGCAAGGCACGGCGCCGAGGAGGAGGAGGAGGTGGGAGAGGCCCGGACCCGCGCGGCTCTGCCCGCTCCGCTCCGCTCCCTGCGCCGCGCCGAGCGCTCTGCGCCGCGCCGCCGCGCCGCGCTCAAATACCGCCCCGCCCGCTGCGGCGCGCGGCCCGCCGCGCTCCCATTGGCTGCGCCGCGCCGCACGCCGCGCCCTGATTGGCTGCGCCGCCGCGCTGCCCCGCCGCCCCGGCCCGTCCGCCCGCGCTGCTCTGCCTACATCCTGTTTCATCCCACAATGCCGCGCGGCCGGCGAGGGGCGGGGCGGGGAGGGGCGGGGCTTTGCCGCGCGGGGGGGCGGGGCCTCGAGGGCCCGATCCGGGGGGTGCTGAGCCCGGCCCCGGGGGGTGCTGAGGGGCCGCTGTGGAGCCCCCGGGGTGTCCTCCCCCCAGCCGTGTCCCCAAGCACCCCAACACCCCCAGCCCCTGCTGCCCACGTCTCCAGGGTGCCCCACAGGGCTCAGCCTCGCTCCTGGCCCCGCAGCACCACGCTCGTTCCTCCGCTCCCCGCTCATTTCTTGGGGTTTTTCCCAAATTTACACCGGCAGCGAGCCTTGGGGACCCATCACGGCCACCAGCACCGTGTCCCATGGTGGTCGCTGCCTTTCCATGGGGTTTCCAAGCCAGCCCTGCCAGCTCCAGCCCCGTTTCAAGTGCCCATATAACCCCAGCCCTCCTTCATGTGCCCATATAACCCCAAACCTCCTTCTTGTGCCCATAAATCCCCAGCCCCGGTGCTGAGCTGGCCACGCAGTGTCCCCACACCAGCTCCTGGGGTGACCCATGGCTGTCACGGTCCCCTGTGACGTTTGGGAGATAAAGGGCAGGGACAGGAGGGGACAGGAGAGCCCTTTGGTAACACTGGTGGCCTGGCAGAGCCGCTCGCCTGAGGCTCCTCAGGTGTTTTGGCTCCGTGTCCCCGGAAAAGGCACCGGGACACAAAGGCACCAAAGCCCAGGAGGGCCACGTCATGCTCTCCTTGTGTTTCATGTATGCACAAAAGCCAAGGTGAGGACAAAAGGGGAGAACAAAAGCCCCGTTCACTCCGAAACCCAGGTCGAGGTCTGGCACCACAACGCCCCGCTCTGTGCTGCTGCTTTCCCCGCAGGAAAGCCGCGGTGAAACCCGGTGAGAGCGACCCAGCACATCCCAAATGGCGCTGTCAGCCCCTCGAAGGGCTGATCCTGCACCCGGCCGGGATGCTCTGCACAAAACCAGCTCCTCAGCCTCCTGGGTTCCCCCCGCAGGGCTCCTGCCCTCGCTAAACGTGCCCGGGGCGTGCAGCTGCCCTCCGGGCCGCCCGTCTGCCAGGCTGGCTGCCCGCCAGCTCCAATTTGGGTTGCTCCATTTCACTTGGGCAGAGGCGCCAGGAAACCACCTGAGGAAAAGCCCAGGAGAAATAAAATAAAAAAATAAAAAATAAAAATAATAATTAAAAAAAAAACAGAAGGGAGTGAGGGTCCGCCCCGAGCTCCCATTTCGGGAGCATCCTGTGGCTGCAACCCTTCAAGAGCTTCCACCTCTCAGCAGCAGCGGGATTAAATACTTTTATGGCCGTGTTTCCAGAGGCTCCACGTGGTCGGATAGGGGCTGAAGCATGCTGATTTGGGGGCTGAGGAGGGGGGAAAGGCAGTGCCTGGTCACCTGCTGGAGCAGGGCCACTTGGAAGGAAGGGGCAGGAGGTGGGAGCCGGGTGTCCCCAAATCCCCATGTCCCCACGTCCCCCCGTGCCGCAGCAGGCTCCAGGGCCGCGTCTCGGCGAGGCTCCCGGGGGCGTCTGGCTGCGAGGGCAGGCGGCTCTGCTCAGGTTCACTGCACGGTGCTTGGCTGGGCTATTTATATCTCCGCCGAGGCTCTGTTGAGGCAGCAGACCTCGGAGTCTCGCGGATCTCTTTTATTAGCACGCCCAGCTGGGAGGCGCGGAGCCTCGGCTCGCCCCGTGCCGGGACGGAGAGGAGCAGCACCACGAGGAGCAGAGCCCGGCTATGGGGACAGCAGCAGGACCCAGCCCTGCTGATGGGCAGGAGGCAGCTCCCTGCTTCGTACACAGCTTCAGGGAAGGTCCCTGCTCTGCTCCAGGAGCCCTGAGCAAGCCCCAAGCCGGTCCCGCAGCGCCAAGCCGGGCCTGCGGGTCGGGCGCCACCGCCCTTGGTGGAGGCGGGTTGCCCGGCCTGTATGGCTGCCCCATCCCTTGCTAATGAAGGAGCTTCGTTAGCAGGCAGGGAGCTGAGCTGCGAGAGGCAGAGCTCTGTTCCTGCCCCTGCTGCTGCCATGAAGTTCTGCTTAATCCTCAGTGGCAGCCGCGAGGCCGAAGTAGCTGCGGTTTTGGTATCACGTAAATCCTGAACTGAGGCAGATGACGGGGGCTGAGCCGATATTAAGGCTAGAGGCAGGTGTGGGATGATGCTTGTCCTGCACAACGGGAGCCCCAGATTTCACCCCGGCCCCTCGTGCTTTAGACCTGCCGGTGTCCCCGTGGTGCCGGTGGGTGCCGATGCAGCGCCCGCCTCCCCCTGCCCAGCTGGTCCCGGGGACACCCGCAGCACCTTCAGCCCCACAGGGCAGGAGCAAGCTCCCCACAGGGGTCCTGCTGCGAAGGGATGAGGAATAAAACCTCGGTCCTCGTCCCCAGGGGGTCAGCGTGCAGCCACCCGCTGGCGCCTCTCTGGGCACGGGAAGGAGCCCGGCCTCCCTGGAGGAAGTGCTTCAAATGCCACAAGGGGAGACGCGTTCCTGGATCGTGACAAAAAGCCTTTATTTATAAATTGCTCCGAGTGCACTATATAAGGCGCTGTGTGGAGATTAAGAGGAAAAGGGCCTGGCTGCGAGGAGCAGCTCGCCATCTAAGGCTGCGGCCTGGCTCTGCCTGCGGCCGGGAGCTCCCCGGCCAGACGCGATCCCAGCCCCAGCCGTGACTCTGCCCCTCTGCCTCTGTCCTTGTCCCAAAGCCAGGACAACATCCGCGACGAAACCACACATCTGCAGGAGCTGACAGGACAAGTGTTCCCTTTGTCTTCTCTCCCTGCAGCATTTCTGTCCGCCCCACCTCCTCCGTCGTGCCTCCTGTACCTGCTCGGCTCCCTGCTCATCCCCGGGCTCAGCCACCGGCTGCTTTGGTGGCCAGAAAGCTTCCAAAAACACAGCCACAGCAGCAAAGCAGCTTCTCTGTAGAAAAAGTTCTCTGTCTCACCCATCACTGCAGTCCCAAACCTTCTCAGTCTGGGTCGTCCCCTGTCCTGATCCTGCCCGAGGCTGCCGTATGACTGATTTTTACCAGGAGTTAATGGTTTTGGCAGCTGTGCTGCCGGCCGCACTCAGGGAGGTTTGCTCGCAGTCCCGCGCTGCTTTGATCAATGTGTTTGTGAAGCAGTTTTCAGTGGCTCGGTTAATGTGGGTTATTATCTCCCCGGAATCCCTGCTATGGAGGCTGAATAAATCCCAGCCACAGAGAAAATGCCCCGTAAACGTCCAGAGGGGAGCGGCCACTGCAAACGCTGAGGGCTTCATCGCTGTAAGCAGCACGCTGCCGTCGGTATCAGTGCCCCATTCTCGAGGGTTACTGTTCAAAATTTGGGACAACTGAGTGTTTCCACTACCTGCCTTTCTCGTCTGCACAAGGACCCGGCCCAGGCGCGTTTCTCTCTCCAGGAGCAGCTCTCGCAGCCACACACGGGGCAGCCTGGGCATTTCTCCAAGGCAAATGGTTTAAAAGCTGTGAGGAGCTACAGAAGGCTTCTTGTCTGAACACTGCTCTCCACCAGGTAGTGTTTCCTGCGATCCTGCGAGCGCGATAGAAAACTCTTTAATGCCAAACGGCGCGTGAGCCTTATTAATATGTATTCAGGTCATCTGCTCTCTGCAAGTTTGTGCAAGTGAGTTGCGGTTCACGCAGGATCCATAAATAAAAACAGCGATCGGGAGGCTGGGCAGGGTCACATTAACACGGGAACGTAATGAGCACCCGTCTGCACGCTGGGGCTGGACATGCCAGCGGCTGGGACCTCCCTTTAATCTGCTCTCCCCGGAGGTGAAAGGCAGGTTTAGAAATGGAAAAGATGGAAAAAACACCGAAGGAAAAGTTGCCTGAGCCCCGTGCTGTGTGGCTGTGCTCTGCAGTGGTCCCAGTTTGACCAGGAGGCACAGGGGCCTCAGGACTTCGGGACCAGCTGGGCGCTAATTTCACTTCTTCCCTTCCCTCGAGTTTCTCCATTTTTCCCTTTTCTGCCCTCCCTTCCACTACAACACTTGGGATGGATGCTCCAGCACCAGCCCTAAATCCAGCTCATTTTCTCTGGGAGGGCCCTACCTGCACATCGAAGGCTTCCTACGTTTTTAGGGCAGTTCTGGGCTTCGACGCCACCCCAGGGGTGTCCTCCCTCTGGGGACATGCGGTGGGCTCACGTGTGGGCCAAGCTGGAAATCTCCTGGTAATTCTGTGGGTGCTCACGCATGGAGACATTGAGTAGCCACGTGTGCACTCACTGGGCATTCAAATGCAAAATATCCGGGCGCTCATGCACACAGGACCTGGGTGCTACTGCATGCGTTAATTGGGTGCTCATGCATGTAGTAATTAGGCGTTCATGCATGCAGCACCAGGGCATTCATGCATGGGCTAACCCTGCAGTCGTGCACAACCCAGCTGTGGCTGTGGAAGCTCAGAGTGCTCACGCAGGACATTTTGGCTGCTTGCACGGGTGCTGGTTGGGCACTCATGCATCTTCTGGGCACTCACACGTGGGCTAACCGGGTGCTCATGCCCGAAGTCACCGGGTGCTCACACGGACATCAGCTGGGTGCTCCTGCGTCAACTGCTGGGACACTCCTGTGTAAGCCAGGCACTCCTGCATGACCTGGTTGGGGGCTCTTGTGGGGACTCCTTGGCCACTAAAACCTGGCTAATTGGGCACTCGTGCATAAATTAACCAGGTGCTTGAGTGTGAGCTATTTGGGTGCTCATGCAGGAATGCAGCAACCCTGCAATTCGCGCCCCCACTGGTGCTGTGTCCACAGCCCGGCCAGGAAACTCCAGCCAGCCTTCTGTGGGCAACAGGCACGGGGCTGGGGCTGCC